GACTTGAAGGCAAATCCTTTGCAGGATTCTGTTGAGAGCTTTTACTGCTCCTTTGCTGGGGCTTGTGGCTGCAGATTTTTCAGGTTCTTAGTAGACCCTAAACTCTTAAAGCCTTGAATCACAACAATTTATCACCCATCAGGGAGCTACATAAAATGTATTTTCCTTCAGAGTGACTATTCTCATAAAAAAACTAATTTAAAAAGAAAAAAAGACAATTAAGAATGTTTTTTAAAAATCTACGCTACAGCCCAACTTTACAGGGATCCTTAAACCTAAAAAGTCTGACCCCCAAAAAATTAATGCCACCTGCAAGCTGTAAATACATGTATTAATTTTTTTTCCCCCAAGTATTTTCTTTGGCTGTTACATTCAGCTGAACAAGGCCTAAAAATTGTCAAACTAAATTCTTGTTTAAGAGTGGAGCTCTAACTACTGCCAGTTTGAGTGAAGCACACAGCCAGGTTTGGGGAATAAGTTTTATTTATCTTGGCTGCGGTGCGGGGTGGAACATTTTCCATCCCATCCGAAGGCAGTCAAAAAGGGGTTGAAATATTGCACAATAAAAGCCATTCATTCTATCTGTCTGCTCTGCCTTCCAAAAACAGAGCAGCCTGACCAGCCCCGAGCCCGGGCAGGGGGCAGGAAGATGGGAGTCAAGGGGTCACTGGAAATAAACCAAGACCAACACCAGGATCGCAGGCCTGGCTTAGGGAATCTGTTCCATGCCCTCACTCCCACAGCACACAGGTTTTCCTCTCCCCCCTCCCCAGCCTGGCTAAAGTAGTTAATTGCTCTGTTATGCACAATTTACAGGAGTTAATTACTAAACTAATACATTAGGCTGCTTGTCTCCCAGTCACAGGCCCAGCTCCAGCTCCTCCACAGGGGCACAGGGAGACTGGACTGTACTTCAACTTCAAACATTTTCATTTTACTTCCTCACTTTAAAGCCATGCTGAAGGAAGACCCCACTATTTTTTATTGATTTCCAGTGCTCACCTACCTGTTGGCAGCTTGCAAATGCAATTTCTTCCCCTGCCTGTTCGTGTTCCTGTGTGTTGAAGCCATCCCTGCCATTCTGCAGGGGAATTTCCCCTTTCTCCATCTCCAAGCCTTTGCTGTTTGCTTCCCTGTTCATCACTAAAGTCTCTCCAGGTCTAAGAGTGAGAGGATTCACAGTGAGGAGGAGGAGGAAGAGTCAAGCACAAACTTTCTAAACATTTCTGAACAACTGACCCAGACAAACCCACAACAGTGACATTTCCAGGCAGCACTTGGGTGTTTCAGCATCTTCTATTGCTCAGTAGTCAGGATAAAGTAGAAAAAAAATCAGCTGTAAACCAGATTTATTTACATTTTAAAGTGAAATAAATAAAAATGGCATATACAGTTCTTGTTATTTTTTTCCCCCCTGCTTATCAGGTCAGAATGAGAAAACTTTTACTTCTTCAAGTTTTATTAACTCATATGGGAGAAATTTGGTCATCTCATCCCCCCTTTTATAACTTATGTGCACCTTAATTAAGGCAAAATAAAGGCATAAAAATTCCTGGGAAACATGAACACTTTCCCTTGAAAACCTCCTGGAGAATTCAGGGATAAGGATTGTTCTTTGTACCTTGAGCAAAGTGAAGCAGAGACTTTTCCAACTGTGAAATCACTGCCAGGTATGCAGCTCTGAAAATCCATCACCACTGCACCTCACACAAGTGATGTGTAATTACTCTTACTTATTAACAACATCATAATTACACAGCAGCAAAACAATCAGCGTTTCCAGCCCCAGCCCTTGTCCTCCCTGCCAGTCAGAGCAGCAATTACGTGGGGAGCTGCTAAATGCAATTATTCACCAACCCACACCCAGGCCTGCCTTGGACCTGCTTAAGTCATTTAAAGTCCACACAAATTAAAGTAGGGAAGTGCTTTGAAACACAAATTCATCTTTATAAAAGCCCTCCAAAGGGAGAAGAGCCTGGCTTTGGAAGAGGAATGGCCATGCCATGGATTTATTTAGATGCCACTGTAACACACAGTCTGAGCTGGAGCTCAGCACATAAAAATGGGAAAGAGCCACTGGAATCTCCTTCAGGCAGAGCTGGGAACCAGAAGCACAAACTGGGAGAGCCCTGACACCTCTCCTGTCACACCTTGGTTTCATTTCCTACCCCCACCATGGCCACCAAGACAAGACACAACTCCAGAAAAGCTGCTCCCACCTGATTCCAGCCCATCATTTCACTTTCCCAGTTTAATTCCAGTGCACAGCTCAGTTGTTTTGCTTTGAACAGCAAAAGGAGCAGCTATTTTTACTCATTTACTCATTTTTTAAGCTTTACATTATAAGCTCAGCCAGCCTCTCAGGTTTTGTCCATGATGTTCTTTTCCAGGAAGCTGCTGGTCATTCTGAGGGAAGTGTAGATTTTGGAAAAGCAGATGGGAGAATGGAATTACACTGCTGCTCCCACCCTGTGTGACAGCACAGGCACCAGTGCAGGTCCCAGTTTCAGGAGTTTTCAGGAGTTTAGGGAGCTCCTGCCCCGAGGCAGGGCAGGGACTCAGGTGAGATCTGGGTGTTCAAAGCCCCAGGATGCTGCAGGGGCCCTGCACGAGGAGCTCTCCCAGTTCCCCAGCTCCCTGCCCAGGCCTGGGCTGCTCAGCAAGCCCCACAGCAGCTCCTGCAATCCCCACCATCAGAAAACAGCCAGAGCCTGCAGAGCCCATCCTGGCCTATCCCCACCCCAGGAAGGATCATCTGTCATTGCTGACAGGTATTTGTTTAATCTGTTCCTGAAGGCTCCAGTGATGGAGATTCCACACTTCCCCAGGTTCCCCTGCTTGGCCATCACTGCTGTGAGAACTTTCCCCTAATGTTTAACAGAGACCTTTTCCTCTGACTAAATCACATCTCTTGTCCTTCTCAGGGCAGATATGGAGAACAGATTATTGCCCCCCACCTCTGCACCTTCTGCACAGCTGAACACTTGTTCAAATCCTCTCCAGATTAAGAAAACAAAATATTTTGAGGACCAATTCTATCCAGAGAAGGACAAAAGGAACTAAAAAGCAGCATAAAGAAGTTGTCATCTCTTGGAACAAACTGCAACCTCTTCCTTCCTTGCGGGTTTCCTCACCCTGGCACTGCTATCAAGCATCCACAAATGATCCCTAACAACCCTTTTCCACCCAAGGAAAATCCAAGCTTTGTTTTCCTCTCCTTCCCCTTGTTCTCCACCTCCCACCTCCACTGCACTTGGGGAGCCTCTGAGGGAACCTGAGGGAGGGAGAGCTCCCTGTGCTGCTGGGGCTGCCCCAGGGCAGCACCCCCAGAGCCCTGGGCAGACTGGGCAAGAACCCCTCCTGTGCCAAACACACGAATTCATTGTGTCTTCCTCTTGTACCAAACACACGAATTCATTGTGTCTTCCTCTCCCTCTTGTACCAAACACACGAAGTCATTGTGTCTTCCTCTTGTACCAAACACACGAATTCATTGTCTCTTCCTCTCCCTCTTGTACCAAACACATCAATCAATTCATTGTCTCTCCCTCTTGTACCAAACACACAAATTCATTGTCTCTCCCTCCAGGACAACTCCTTAGTCTCACTGGTGCCTGACATTCATGATGTGACAGCCCCAGTGTCACCCAGGGCTGGATTTGGTACCTAAAAACTGCACAGAGACACCCAGACAGCTCAGGTACAACCTGACTGATCAGGCACAAAGTGATATCCAGATGAAACTCCCACCTGATTCCAGCCCATCATTTCACTTTCCCAGTTTAATTCCAGTGCACAGCTCAGTTGCTTTGTTTTGAACAGTAAAAGGAGCAGCTATTTTTACTCATTTACTCATTCTTTAAGCTTTACATTATAAGCTCAGCCAGCCTCTCAGGTTTTGTCCATGATGTTCTTTGCCAGGTCCCTTCCAAGCAGAAAGCTCAGCCCAGGCTGCCCTCTCCTGGCAGCCAAGCTCAGCATCCAGCCCAGAACTCTCCAGTCTGCTTCCAAACCAACCCCAAAGCAAATCCCCAAGCCAAACATTAAGGCAACTGTTTTTGGAGGGATTTAAGACATGGAGATGTGGCACTTGGGGACGTGGTTTATGGGCCACAGGGCAGTGCTGGACTCTGATCTTAAAGCTCTTTTCCAACCCCAAGGATTCTGGAACTCAAACAGCTTAAACAGTGCAGTTTCTTTCAAGTTGCTTGAGGAATTCTTGTCTTGGGAGCAAGAGGTATAAAAATCCAACTGCTCTGGTTTCTTTCAAGCTCTATAAAAGCAGCTAAGTACATCAAGGATTTTATCCCACATCCCTCATGGCACAAAGCAGGGCACAGAAGGGACTGCATTGGACACAAAGCCATTTCCTGCAGGCTGGCACGGGCGTCCCTGAGGGCTGGAACAGCCCAGATGAAAAATGAAAGCAGCAGCAAAGCCTGGAGCAGAGCACCTGCAGTGCTCACTCTTTGTTCCACTGGTGCCAGGGGCCAGCAGGGGATGGACTCAGGACACACACACAGGGCTGGGAAGGGCTGGAAATGAAGCCCAGCCTTCCTAGGGAGCCAATTTCATTTGTCAGATGAATTTTATACAAATAAATATCTAAAAGCTTTTTTTTTTTTTTAATGACCACCCTTTACATCAGAGAATTGTTCATGAACTCTAACACTAAATCTCACTCTAACTCCACCTCTGCTCATGCCCAAAGCCTCTCCAGAAGGTAGAAACAGGTTCCCCACTTCTTGAAAGGGAAGAGGAGGAAGTGATTCCTTTATTCATTGCAGACAATCTCTTTTGAGTGTAGTTTTGCAATCTAAAAGAAAATATATGCAGATTTCAACAGCAATTTCCAGGGAATGGTCACACACAGGAAACAAAGCCTCGGAGCAATTGTGGCTGGAAGGACACATCTGACTTTGATTTAACTGCTAAAAACAAACCCACATTTATCAGGGAGAAGAATTTTTTAATTCTCTTCATTACCTGCCATAACCAGACCAATGCTCTGAGCCAGTCTGCCAAACAGTTCAGATCTTCAAACATTTTAGGCATCAAGACAAGGAAAATGAGTTCTAAGTTATCCAGAAAATGAGTAAGAAAATAAGTGAGGAAATACAAGTGGGAAAGAAGAAAACTGCACTTGAGAGACAACACAAGGGCTAAGAAGCACCTTCACTTCAGAAAACCAGAGATGCCTGAAACACCCTTCAACCTCAGCTCAAGAGTTTCTGCTGCTCCTGAGTGTTTTTGGTCACTCCTGTTCTTCCCACACACAGAATTTGTGCTTCTCCTTCTCTGGGTGGGAGCCCAGGCCGTTTCTTGAGCTGTGGCTTCACAGAGGCTTCTCCTCCTCCACCTCCTGCCAGGGGCTGCAGCAAGGGGAGCAGAGCCCTCATTCTCCTTCCCTGGGGCTGCCAAGGGGAGGAGGTTCTGCTCCCTGGGGTGGACATTCTCAGACCCTGCCAGGACGGATGTGCTGCTGCTCCTGCTGCCTTTGGGAGCAGCGGGCAGGGGAGGCTCCCTGGGCACGTCAATCCAGGCCAGTCCCGTGCCGGCCGCGTCCCTGCTCAGCCTCATGCTGCGCCTCACCCGGAGCTCGGCGCCGGCCCCGCTGCTCCCCCTGCCGGCCCGCAGGGGCCCCTCCCCGGCCCGGGGCACCGAGAGCGCTTCCTCCACGTTGTACGAGCAAACTGCAAGGTCAGCCCCAGTCACTGCCGAGTTCTCAGCAGGAGGGAAGTAGAAGGCACTGCTGCTGCTTCTTCTTCTCCTTGCTGGCTCGTGTCTGACAGAATCCTTCTGAGGACACCTGGCTCTCTGGGCACCCTCCTGTACCTCCTGTTGTTCCACAATTTCAAGCCCAGTTAGAAGATTGCTTTGTAATTCTTCCTTTTCTATCAAGGAACTGCTTTCTTTTGCTTCTTTTTCACATGGAGTCTCTTTGCCTTGCTGGAAATAATCAGATGTATCAAAATCACCTTCTGCATCTGGCACAGCATTTGAAAACTGGGGAGATAAAATAAAAAAAAGACTTGATTTTTTTTTAAATATAGGCAACAGGTAATCCATAAAAACTGGTTTCAAACAGCTGAACTGGCTACTGGTCTCCTTGCCACTCCAAAATCCCAACACCTGACAGGGAATCCTGCAGGAGATTGCTCTCCTCAAAAAGGCATGTGTGCCTCTGAGAAGAACCTCAGATCTCCTTTTGTATCCCCTCTCAAATACATATGCATACAGTTCACAATAGGCTCACACATATTCATTTTTATGGGTTTCATGTCACTTTCATGTCCAGTTCCTTTTTATCAGAAAGAATTCTGAGGTCAGGCTGACTTGCCCTTACAGCAGTCCCTGTCTCTCTCCATCATCTTCTGTCTCCCCCCCTTTCTCTCTGTCCTTCGCTGAAGTAACTTCACTGAGCTTAGGCCTGGAAGCCTGGCTAAATAACTATGGGTTCTAACCACAGACTCAACTCAGAAATGTACATTTCACCTAAATTAAAATGGATTTCTATCTTCGAAAATTTTCACTTTGCCCCACCAGGCTGCTCAGAGGCTCAGCTGAGTTCTGAATGCCCAACCCCTCCTCCCAAGCATGGACAGTCCATGGCCTGCAGGCTGTGTTTTGTGGAGAAAAGAAAGAGCACCCCACAACTTTGTGAAAGTTGTAAAGCTGGTGTGTTTATTACAGTGCTGGGTGCATGCAGAGATTGCTCTCCTCAAACAAGGCATGTGTGCCTCTGAGAGCTTCAGGTCCCTTTTTATCTCCCCTCCCAAATCCATATGCATACAGTTTCACACTAGGCTCACACATATTCATTTTTATGGACTCTGTGTGGCATTTGCCACCAGTTCCTCTTGATCAGAAAGAATTCCTGGGTCAGGCTGGCCTGCCCTGCAGTAGTTTCTGTTTTTCTCTATCTGTCTCCCTCTGTCTCCTCATCATCTCTGTCCTGCAGTTTTCCCTTCAGCTTCAGCCTTACAGACTTTTCACCCTTTCTAGACATTTCACCTAACTCAAAATGGATTTTTGCTCTGGGGGATTTTTCACTCTGTCCCAGCTGAATCACTCCCAGTGCCTCCCCCCAAGATCATTCTGAGCCCAGCAGTTACCTCAGGAGCTGCCTCCAGGCTCCCTGGCACCTCAGAGTCTCCAGAGCTGGTGGCTGCTGCCTCCTCCAGGAGCCCAGGGCACAGAGCAGCTGCACAGAGCCCCTTCCCCTGCACCCTGCCAGCCTGGGGCTGCTGGGCAGTGTCCCTGCAGGTGTCCCTGCAGTTGGGGTCACCCACACCTGCACCCTCTGCAAAGAGCAAACACGTGGTTGTGCCTTCAGTCAATTAACATCTTTGTGTATTACAAGAAAACTTCATTGGATTTTACTTTGTGCATAAATTATTTTACTTATTATACTGATTTATCTATATAAAAATAACTTCTACACATAAACAGTGGAGAACAAAGCCAACAGAAAGCTCTGCACATCCCTTCACTCTCCATGCCCAACTCACTATGAAAACAGCAGCACCCAAAGTAAAGAGGTGGATGTGGATTTTTGGTCAGATTTGCACTGGAGTCCAACAAGAACTGAATTTATCAGCTGGACGTTATTAATTTATTAGATCCTCCAGACTCTGCTATTACAGAAACAATTGAAAGTAAAAATATTTTTTGTATAACTGTTGAGGAACAGAAAGAGAAAAGCAAAACAAAACCAAACCCCAAATTACCTGTAAGAAGTGCATCTGCCTTTGGTGAGTCTGGAGATGACACAGAAGAGAAAACCTCTGGGATTTCAGGGATAGGGCTGAGCAGGGGTTTCTTAGAAGCCATTTCTCTTTCCCCATACAAAGATTCCTTGACTTTTTTCTTTCTTCTTTTCCCATAGCTTGGGCGGGTTTTTCTCTGAAAAGATGGAGGAGAATAAAGCACAGTGAAATTTTCATCATCCTCTACAATATTTTTCAGTAAGTGACCCCATTACTGGATTTTGATGGATGACAAGTGTTTCCCCTAAAAGAAAGATTCCACTTCCTCTGCCAGCTACAAAATAATCCAGAAACTCATAAGCAAAAAAGAATTACTTTTCTAACTTGTCTCTGCAAGAACTTGGTAAGGGAAGAAGCACAAACTCATTTGTTGGCCCTCAAGTCTGAAAAGGAAAAGAGATATTTACCTGAGCTTTATATTAACTGGATCTTATTTAAACTTGTGATATCATTCTGTGAAAATTTTACTGCTTAAAGTAATTTTTTTACTTATACTGATTTACCTATATAAAAATAACTTCTACACAAGCATCCCACAAACAGTGGAGAACAAAGCCAACAAAAAGCTCTGCACATCCCTTCACTCTCCATGCCCAACTCACTATGAAAACAGCAGCACCCAAAGTAAAGAGGTGGATTTGGATTTTTGGTCAGATTTGCACTGGAGTCCAACAAGAACTGAATTTATCAGCTGGACATTACAAAACAAACACCCAGCCCCAAAAAGATCCTTTTGGCCCTACAAGAATTCAAGCCCTTAAGTCAGCAAGGAAAAGAGATGGGGCAGGAAAACAAGAAAATATTGGCAGTAACAGGAAGATCCTGTAGGACACAAGGAGAGAGAAATAAATCAAAATAAAAGCAGAATTCAGCAACTGCAGTGGCTGGCACTCACCTGGGTCTTCTTGGGAGCAGCTGTGCTTGGATTCCTCTGTCTCTGGATCTTGCTCCTTGGATTTTTGGTGTCCTTGTCGTTCTCAGTGTTTGTGGCACCTGAGCTGCTCCCATCAGGGTCCTGTGCCACAGCCCTGCACTGCTGGGAACAGGGTTTGGGGTGCTTGGGGGCACCTGCTGCTCAGAGAAACCCCCAGGGTCCACAGGCACAAGAATCAAATGGAATTCATCTCTTCTCACCTCATTAGAGGCTGGCACAAGTGGGAATTAAATATTATGGACTTATTTCCCATAGTACAATCCAGTCCTGGTTGTGTTATAATGAAAATACAGTCATTTTTATCTTTAGTTATTTAGGAAAATGGGTTATTTCTGTATATTCCTCCATTTGTTGCCTTCCCCTCCCACCAGAGCTGCCCAACACTGCAGGCTGAATCAATTCTTGTACAATCAATTCTGTGCCTTGAAATTCCAGCAACCAAAACATTTTGTCAGATTCTTTGGAAAAGCTCCTGGAAAATTCAATAGAAATTGTCAATTTAAGTATCAGGCTATATTTTTAATAACTGGAAAATCACTTTCACTGAAAAATCTCATTTCCTCAAAGCACTACCAGGAGGTATTTCCATATACCTGGATATAGATAATCCTCATACCTGAAGCTGGAAAAACTTCTTTAAGCATCAAGAGGGATAAAAGAACAATTCAAATAAACAAAATAAATTTCATCACCAAGGAAACTCACCTTCCTCTTAGTAGCAGAATGAGTTGTTACCACCTCAGGTTTGTCAGTCTCTGCTACTAGAAATGAAAAAAAGGATTTTTACTCAATTTCAATGAGAAAATTATCTACATTATTTCTGATACTGTGCACTTCAGCCACTTTAGTCTTGACTAGAAATTGCATCTTGAGGATTATCAAACATGGCAAGATAAAAATTTTTATTTGCTCTACAAAATAGAGGAAGACTCAGCTTGGGAGGATTTGGTAACAAGAATTAGAACATCCAAAGTTTTCATAGATAAATATGCACAACCCACTCTCAATTCTTTTGTTGTTGGGTTGCTGTTTAAAAGTCATCAAAATTGCAATATCAGAATCAAGACTCTAAAAAAAATTCCTTTAAGCAGTAAAATTTTCACAGAATGATATCACAAGTTTAAACAAAGCTCAGGTATACACTGCAGCTACTGCAAGGAGCTTCAGAAGAAAACCTTTCCATTTAAATGCTAACATTCAAGTTTTAGCACAATTGAAATATATCCCCAAACAGAAAAATAAACCAAAACTCTCAACTTTCAGTCTTCAGGTATAAAAACATTCATAATCTACTGATCAAAACACAAGTTGGGGTTACCTTCTGCAATTTCAACAGGTGCAGGGGCTTCTGCAATTTCAACAGGTGCAGGGGCTTCTGAACCTTCCAGGAATTCTGGGAGAGGCTCAACACCTTCCTTCAAACAGAAAATGCCATTTTTAGCAATAAATCACAGCAGATATTTGGTGGACCTTGTCCATCAGTGTTTGTAGACAAAGTAGTTTTATTTTGTTTCCTTAAAGAAAACACCTTTGCTGTGTGTGGCAAAAAGAAACACAGCAGCAAAATCTAAGAAAAAGTGAAGGAGAAAACATTTCAAGTTCAGAAAGCTCCTAGAACAGCTCTCCAGGTCAAAGTGCTGCTCAGAATTCCTAAGACTCACACTGAGAAGTTGAGTTTTAACTCCAACTGAACTCTGCTTTTACATTTCTGTAGGGAGAGTCCTATGTACTGGATAAGTGGGTCCCAGCTATTCTAAACAAGCCACAGCTGTGAAGTCCTTAGCTGGGCAGCAGCTGTGGCTCACAAAGATAACTGGGATAAAAGGGGTGGGCTGAGAGCCCTGGAGGAGCCCCTGAGAAGCCACGAGGAACTGTGCTACAGAGAAGAGCAGCATGGTAAAAAAACAGCTAGAAGGTATGGACTTTAGGAATATAATAACAACAGTATGGGACTCTAGAAATATGAAATACAACAAGATAACAACAATTGGTGACCCTGACGTGATTGAGATATGCAGCCTGAGAGCTGTGGAGGAAAAGGCAGCCAGGAGCTGCAGAAGAACACAGCTGTTGAATCTCAAGGAGCTGTGCTGGATTATGGCCTCTGAGCAAGAAGCTGTGTGTGTTGTACAAGGCCTTTGAGTGTCGGGATAAAACGTGTATTGTAAGGAAATGTATATATTGTACTTGAATATCTAGATTGTATTTGAATACATCTGTTAGAAACAGAAAAAGGGGGAAATGTAGTGAGAGTCCCTACAAAATCTATGTGTTGGATAAGTGGGTCCTAGTTATTCCAAATGAGCCACAGCTGCCAAGTCCTTAGCTGGGCAGCAGCTGTGGCTCACAAAGATCACTGGGATAAAAGGGGTGGGCTGAAACCCCTGGAGGAGCCCCTGAGAAGCCAGTGGCATGGCAGAAAACCAGCTAGAAGGTGTGGAACAATGTATGGGACTCTAGAAACATGAATAACAATAAGATAGCAACATGAAACGATGTATGGGACTCTAGAAATATGATAATAACAATAAGAATACAACAATTGGTGACCCCAACGTGATTGAGATATGGGGCCTGAGAGCTGTGGAGGAAAAGGCAGCCAGGAGGTGTGGGCCACAGCTGCCAAGTCCTTAGCTGGGCAGCAACTGTGGCTCACAAAGATAACTGGGATAAAAGGGGTGGGCTGAGAGCCCTGGAGGAGTCCCTGAGAAGCCACGAGGAACTGTGCTACAGAGAAGAGCAGCATGGTAGAAAACCAGCTAGAAGGTATGGAACAGTGTATGGGACTCTAGAAACATGAAAAACAATAAGATAGCAACATGAAACAATGTATGGGACTCTAGAAATATGATAATAACAATAAGAATACAACAATTGGTGACCCCGACGTGATTGAGATATGCAGCCTGAGAGCTGTGGAGGAAAAGGCAGCCAGGAGCTGCAGAAGAACACAGCTATTGAATCTCAAGGAGCTGTGCTGGATTATGGCCTCTGAGCAAGAAGCTGTGTGTGTTGTACGAGGCCTTTGAGTCTCAGGATAAAACATGTATTGTAAGGAAATGTATAAAAAGGTGGAAATGTAGGGAGAGTCCCATGTATTGGATAAGTGGGTCCCAGCTATTCTAAACGAGCCACAGCTGCCAAGTCCTTAGCTGGGCAGCAGCTGTGGCTCACAAAGATAACTGGGAAAAAAGGGGTGGGCTGAGAGCCCTGGAGGAGCCCCTGAGAAGCCAGTGGCATGGTAGAAAACCAGCTAGAAGGCATGGAACAGTGTATGGGACTCTAGAAACATGAATAACAATAAGAATACAACACATTTCAGCTCTTTCTTCACAAAACCCAGCAGGCTGAGGGGAATGAACCCAGGATTGAGCATACACAAACTGACCTCATCCCAGCCAAAATCCAGCAGGGGCAGAGGCTCCTCAGGGAGGCCTGGCCTTTTCCAGGGGCTCTGTCCCTGAGCACAGCCTGGGGAGGCTCCTCTGCGTAGGGGGGTGTTGGCAGGCAGGCTCTGGTCAAAGATTTCAGGGCTCAGAACTTCCCCAAAAGTCACTTTTTTCTTCTTGGGTGTTTTGGAGCTGTCAGCACTCTCTGTTGGAATAAAATAAAATTAAATAAACAGCTGTGTGACGGGGAACTGGCACAGAGCAGAGGCTTTGCAAGAGATTTAAATGTTCTCCTAAAAATCACCACCCAAACAACCAGCAAAACACCATCTTGGTCTGTGAGGCCAGCCAGGACTTTCACTCTGGATTTATTAACAAATCAAGGAAGAAACAGACTAAAAACAACTCCCTGTCACCCAAGTTTCAGCTGAGAAGTGTAAAAAAAATCACTTTTGTTCCTTCAAAAATCAAGGATTCTATGAAGGTGCTCAAGGTTTCTGAAGTTTTGGGGTGGGTTAAATTTTTTTTATAGACATTCCTTTCCTTGGCAATGTTGTTTTCCATGTCAGCAGCAGGATGTCACAAGAAGGTCACTCAGTGGTGATTAATACCAATAATCAGGCTTAGCAAAGAGGCAAAAACCTTAGCATCATAATATTTTACTCATTTTTAAAAGAAATAAAGAAAGCCAAGTGATTTTTTTTCTTAGAAAGGAGAATCTGACCTGTTTGCAAAGTTTCAGAGGCTTTTACACAATTGGAGACTGCAGCAGATTCATCTCCTCCTCCATCAATGGCACTGTTTAAGTATTCCTGTCAAATTTAAGATACAGTTCAATAAAAATGAATTAAAATATTGTTCTCTAAGCAGCATTTAATAATCAGTCCTTTTATTAAACCAAAGCTCAAAAACATTAATTTCATGGAATGGTTCAGGTGGGAAGGGAGCTGAAAATGATGCAGTGCCACCCCTGCCATGGCAGGGACACCTCCCAGTGTGCCAGGGGGCTCCAGCCTGGCCAGGGACACTTGCACTTTGTTCTCTTTGCATTTTGAGGCATTTCAGCCCAGCTTGGCCTTTAGGGCAGTCTTGGGAAGGAATTAATCTGTGGGAAAAATGGGGTCTAGGAATTAACAGAAACATGGAATCATGGAATGGTTGGGTTGGAAGAGACTTAGCAGCTCATCCCATCCCACCCTGCCATGGCAGGGACACCTTCCCCTGTCCTTGGGCACTGCCAGGGATGCAGGGGCAGCCCCAGCTCCCTGGGAATTCCATCCCAGCCCCTGCCCACCCTCCCAGGGAACAATTCCTGCCCAACATCCCACCCATCCCTGCCCTGTGGCAGTCTGAAGCCATTCCTGCCACCCCAGACCTTTGTTAAGTCTCTGCTTTTCCTGTCACCCCTTCAGGGGTTGAAGGTGCAGTGGGGTCACCCCTGATCCTCTCCCAACATGAGAGCTCCAAGATGCCCAAGAAGCATTAAATAATTCCCAAATCATTCCCAAGCCACAGCAATCAGTCCCCAAAGCACCTGGAAGCTCCTCCTTGGTGCAGGCACTGGGTCAGCCCTGGGGCTGTCCAGGAGCTCCTTGCCTGGGTTTTTCTTCAGGATGGATCTGAGCAGGGAGCTGCTGTGGCCCAGGGCAGTGCTGGGAGTGCTCCCATCTTCCCCAGCCCCAGCCCTGCTCCTGCTGAGGGCTGGCACAGCACCCCCAGTGCCACTGGGCTCCCACCTGGCCTCTGCAGAGCCAGCACACAGCTGGGACACTGAAACAGAGAAGGAGAAGTGACAGAACTTTAGTGCTGAAAGCATCAGTATAAAAGCACCCACATAAAAGCAGAAACACCCCACAAAAATCCAGCAGTCTGTAAATTCTGGCTCTTATTATGCCACATGTGCATTTGCTATTTTCAGAAATTTATACAACATCCTAAAAAGGAGCACTACATGAATGAGAAGTTACATCAGGTTTCTACTGCATCCTACATTGTAGACAAGGTGACAAATGTCAGCTGAAACATTTCCTGACCAATATTTTTATTTCCTAATAAGAATTTAACAAAGATTAACAAAGATTGTAACAGTGCTGAATCCTCTTACCATGGTCTCTTTCCAGGGTCTCTCCAGTTACAGCAGGGTCCAAGGACTGAACAGGATTTTGCTGCTCACAAACCCATTCCTAAAGAAAGAGTTACAGCATTTTTACAACAGCACAAACTATGCAGGGTTTGAATCCAACACACAAGGATTTCAGAGCTTTCCCCATCATCCACTATTTCAGCTGAATTTATTTTCCCCAAGCACCCAGGGAAATGCTGAATGAATTAAATGCTCAGCAAAAGAAGAAAATGTCTATTTTAATGCCTGAGAGGTTTCTCCCCAGCTCAAAGCACCTTGGCAGCAGTGACAGTCACAGCTCGTTGTGGGGACAAGATGCTGCAGATCCTGAGCTCACTCCTGCTGCTCTTGGTCTCATTTTCTCTTAAATTTTCTTTTAAAGCAGCTCCTCTGTTGCCCAGCATGAACTTTCCACTCCACTGCTCCAGGTTTGGCTCTTTTTTAAAAGGTGCTTTGTTCTGAACTGCATCAATTCAAAATAAAACAGAAGCCAAATAAATCACAAAGATAAACTTCAGGTTGTTCAAAGAATCCTGTTTTTGTGTTTCCCCATTAAGAGGTGCAGGGAGAAGAACACATTTTTTAGATCCACTTTGAAAATAACATTACCAACCTCCAAAACAAAATAAATGATTCCTGTCACATTAATGTTATTAAGGTCAGCAATAATAGAAGTAAAATGAAAGTAAAATGAAAAGTTTTACAGAAAAAAGTGCAAAAACATTCATGTTCAGTGAGAAATTCATCAAAGAGCACAAATCTAGGAACTAAAACTAATAGAAGAGACTCCAAACCATGAGTTTTCAGAGAAACCACCAATCAGGGTGCATTAAGATGATTTAAACAAACCAAACAAACCTCAAAGCAAGCACAGCCACCTGTGCCAAGCCTAATAAAGGCAGATGATTTTGTTTTACAAGAAGCAGTTCCAGTTTCATACTTTCAGCTAATATTTCAGGTAAATCTGCCCTGGATATTTAATCAACTCACAGGAACCTCCTTGCTGGGAAGGCTCCCCCAGATGTGGGAGCCCAGGCTCCCCCTCAGCCTCCTGCAGGGACTCAAAGGAGGCCTGGAAAGTGTTGATCTTGTCCTTCAGAGACCTCACACTTGCAGGTTTGAAAGAACTGATCTGCAAAACAAAATGAATCCCATCAGGCATTTCTTCCCTCACCACTGCAGCTTTTGTGCTTTGTATTTGCACTTAGACATAAAATACAAAGGAGCTGGTATTTAATCTGGCTGCAATTATAACTGTACAAAAAAAAAAAAAGGAACTTTACCCAGAAATCTGGTACATTTTATTGCATTTAATCTGTTCCTCTAGTCTAGAATTTGCTTTGTGACAGCCCAGGATAGTTCAAGTCCTGAACAGATCTGATCAACCAAGTCCTGAACAGACCTGACTGACCAAGTCCTGAACAGACCTGACCGACCAAGTTCTGAGCAGACCAAGTTCTGAACAGACCTGACTGACCAAGTTCTGAGCAGACCAAGTTCTGAACAGACCTGACTGACCAAGTCCTGAGCAGACCTGACTGACCAAGTTCTGAGCAGACCAAGTTCTGAACAGACCTGACTGACCAAGTCCTGAGCAGACCTGACCGACCAAGTTCTGAGCAGACCAAGTTCTGAACAGACCTGACTGACCAAGTCCTGAGCAGACCTGACTGACCAGGTCACTCACGCTTGAAATTGGCTTCACTTGGAACCAGCAACACTTTAATTACCCAAAAACCAAGAGCAGCAAACACAGGAAAGTGACAAAAATTAAAATTTATCACGGAGAAGAAATTCCAGCCTCTCCAGTGAAAACAGAACCTGGAACATCCCCTTGCCCTGCAGTCAGTGACCAAGGGACAGCAGCACATCAATGCCATGGCTGTCCCTTCTGCTGGGCCCTGCCCAGGACTCCTGTCCCCTCTCCCAGCACAGGGAGTGGAAGTTCCCAGCAGGTGTTTGGGAGGGACTCACCTGGGTGAAAGCTTCTCTGTGCCTGCTGCTCCTCTGCTGGGCCAGGTACCTGATCAGGGTGTTGTTCTCTGGTGATCCCCTCAAGCCAATGGTTGATCTTCTCCTGAATTTTAGTGAAGTTGGGGAAGTCCCTGAAAAGGGGACACAAACAGAGGTTCAAAAGAAAAACAAAGCACAAAACCACAAAAATGTGTTGTAACACCTAAAGCTAGAAAATGGTAATTTTTCATCTTTTTTAAGGCTGATTAATGCCACTTTGATCCAAAATGACCTGCTCAGCCCAAGCAACCTCCCTGAGCACATCAATAATCACAAACCCAGTCTGCCTTTCAGCTTTTCAATTGTTTGTGAGTGTTTACCAAATTTGTTTTGCATTCCCTTGTGACACTCAGGACACTGCATTGAGAGGAGAGATGAACAGGGAGCATTTAATGAGCAGGAAATCACCTGTGCAGTTCAATGGTGTCACAGAGCAGGATATCCCCTGTGCAGTTCAATGGTGTCAAACCCTGTGTGTGGGATTTCCCATGAAGGTGTTGCAGCCCCTCAGAGAGTGCTCCTGGGCACACCCACACTCTGAGCACCTGAACCTGCCCTGAACTGGAGCCTTGGGGATGAGCTGGGACTAAAGGAGCTGGAGAAGCCCCTCTGAGGGGGAGAGAAGCCATTTGTCCCCCCAGCCTCACCTGTGGCTCGTGTTGCAGGACTTCGCTGAGCGCTCCCACACTCAGCACTGATCACAGCACCAACGGCCATGGGCTTCTTCCTCTGCTCAGAGAGCCCCAAATCAGCTTCTCCTTCCACTCTGTCCCTCTCAGGAGGGCAGAAGTCACTTCCCAAGGGAACAGCTGGGCTGCTGGACAAACCCTCCCAGGTGGGCAAGGGCAAGGGGGGCTCAGTGAGGGGCACATCCCCCCCAGAGCAGCCCCCAAGGAGCTGCCAGCCCACAGCAGCCTCCTGCAGGGGACACAGATTCTCCTCGGGGCCTTTGGGGCACTTCAGGGCACGTTTTGGTGACTGTGCCTGGCTCCCATCAGTGAAATTCTCCTTCCTGGATGCTCTGATGGCCTTGGATTTGGTCACTCTGCAGCTCTTCTGGGCTCTGGGCACAGGGAAAGAGGCCTCTTCCTGCTGTTCATTTTCTTTAACTTTCAGGGGAGTTTTAGATCCTCTGAACATTGTTTGGGACTTATTCGAAGAAACATCCACTCAGCGTTTGCTGCTGTAATTCCAGATTCCTAGTAAATAGAAAAAGCAACCTTATTACTTGCTATGCATAAGAGATCATTACCACTCTCAAGCCTCTCCCAAATCCACATTTTCCAGAACAAGTGGGGTGGGAAGGGAAATTTAACCCCAAAAACCTGCAGGGAAAGGACACAAGGGGCAGGGACCAGAAAGAAAAACACAGAGCAATAAAAATCTGCATTATAAACGTGCACAGGAGTGGCTCAGGGTTAGGAGCCACAAGGCTGTGATATCACTCTGTCAAACTTCACATTAATATAAAATACGTGTAGAAAATACAATAATCACCAGCACGCTGCGGCTGGTTTGCTCCAAGTGTTACAATAAATATCAGCAGTTCAATGCTACTTTTAACCACACTAATTAGTAGCAGCAGAAAGAGAATACAAAAGGAAAGAAATGGGAAAGATGCAAATACATTGGAAAGAAATCAGCAGAAGAAACACGAGTAATATATATATATTTTAAGTATATTTTAGCTTCTAAGTAGAAATTTCAAAAGGTTAGGTATTTTTGCTGTTAGTTTCTAAAGTTAATGACGTACAACTCAATAACGCGACTCTGCGACTCCCCTTCTGCAAACACGCGCACTATTAGAAACAAACATGCCTAAATTAACCTGCTTTACAACGCCTGGGCAATCTTTTTCTTTCTAATTTTTCTTTTCCTGCTCTGAGGCCCAGCGGTGGCCGATGGCTTCAGCCACAGCCACCGGCCCAGGGGGGAGAAACTCCCAACGCGGGGCTGCCGGGTGGGTACCGGCCCCTGGGCACTGGCACCCCGCGATCCCGGAGCACACCCTGAGCACCCCCGGTACTCCCCCGGGTATCCCCCGGTACCTCCCGAGCACCCCGAGCGCCGGCCGCTACCGCCCCCGCCGAACCGCCCTCAGCTGGGCCCGCGCCCGGCCCGCCTCACGCTTCAAACCGCGCCACGCCCCTGCGGATCCCTCCGCGCCCCCGCCCCTTCCCCACCCTCAGCGCCCGCCCCAGCCGCCCCGCTCCCGGCAGCACCGCAGGGAGGAAGGGACATGGGGGCGACCCCTCACCGCTGCTGTGCCCCGGGGGTCCGCGCGGGGCTGGGCGGGGACCGCGGGACTCTTTGAGTCGGCGGAGAGATCGCGACGGTTGGGCCGCAGCACCGCTTTGGTACGGGAGAAAAAATAAAATGAGCAAATGAATTCATTCAACGGCCCGCGCGCACGTGACGGGCGGCAACCAATCGCGGAGGTATTATGCAAATATGGACGCGTCCTCTGCTCGCGATTGGCTGCCGTCCCGGCTTTGGCCCGCCTCCTCACTGCCCATTGGGCAGAGACGCGGCGCAGCGCGGCTCTGATTGGCCGTGGGGCCTGCCCGTCAGCGCCCGCCCCTTCCGGGTGTCGGCGCGGCGGCGGGCGCAGCATGAGGCGGGTGACGCTGTTCGTCAACGGCAGCGCCCGCAACGGGAAGGTGAGGCCGGGCCGGGCCGGGCCGGGGCCGCTCCCGCGGGGCCCTGCCCGCCCTCCCGCAGCTCCCGGGGCACCGGGCCGGGCCGGCGGGAGCGGAGCGCGGGGTCCTCCTCAGTGCCGGTGCGGGGAATCGCGACAGGCGCGATCTGTCACGCTCGGTGCCCTGAGGGAGCCGCGCCCGGCCGCTCGTGCCGGGCACTGCTGTGGGATGAGGGCTCTGCGGGACACGGACCCTGCGTGCGGCAATAATCCGGGCAATAATCGCATTGAATTGTTTAAAACCTCGCTAAAATCGCCTCAGGGCTGAAAATAGCGATTCAGAGGCCCAGCAGTGCTTGTCCAGCAGAGGAAAAGGCCCGGGATGCAGTTCCACAGAGAAACCGTGATCCTGATTTTTCCATCACATTCTGAGTGTAGATGTTGATGTGACTGTGTTTTAATGTGTATTAATTATTAATTCCATTAATTCTGCCCATGATCCCGCTATTTCCAGCCGGGCAGGAGTGCAGGGGTTCCTGTGGCTGCATTTCAGCCTTGCAGTTCTGCTGAATTGTGTCTGTGATCCTGATTTTCCATCCACATCCTGAGGGCAGACAGCTCATGAGCCTCTCCTTTAATCCTTGGTTTCAGGGAGGGAAGTACATTTGGGAGAGGCTTGGAACAGAACAAGCAGCAATATTTCTTTAGAGAAATAAATTACTGAATTATATTCCTCCAGCCCCAGCCTTTATTCCCTCCGTGCTGTTGCAGTGAGTTTGGTGGGAGCTGTGCAAGTCACCCTGGTTTTCCTTTCCCTTCTTTCCTGGTCGAGATCCAAATGGATTTTGCTCCTCCTGATAGCCCTGCTCAATCTGAAGGGGCAGAACTTTTGGAGCACAGTTCCTGGGTTTGTTTTTATTCACAGCCTGCTCTTCTCCCCAGGTCGTCGCTGTGTATGGGACTCTCTCAGATCTGCTCTCTGTGGCCAGCAACAAGCTTGGGATCAAAGCCACCAGCGTTTACAACGGGAAAGGGGGGCTCATTGATGATATTGCTTTGATTAGGTGAGGATCAGCCAGGAAAAGGCAAATCAGGCCTCTGGATTAGGGGACTAACCTGTTAATCCTCCTTAATCCATACCCAGTGCTTTCCCTAAAAGCAGATGTGATCATTCCCAGCCAGGGTGCCCAAAGGTCCTTTCCTGTTTTTTTAACTTCAAACCATTTATTGATGCAGAACTTGATACCAGCTGTGTCTGAGGCCTTCTCACCTTCTCCTGTGTTGGTTCAGGGCAGTGTTTGTGCCATGAAATCTCCCCTGTTTCAGTCAGCCCTGCAATGGGGGTTTTCTATAAAGGAGACAAATTCTGGCAGTACTTTGGCTTCACAGAATAGCCCCAGACTGGGGGGAAAGCAGCTTTTTTGTAAGAATTAATTGATTACACAAGTGGTCCCTACCTGGCTGCTGCAGATAAAATCTCTGGTGAAATCAGTCCATTCCAATCCAGTAGAACCTGCAAAATACAGAGAAAAATCAGAAGTTCCAGCTAATGGCCACTGGTCATAATTTACCTGAAAGAGTCAGGAGAGGTTCCACAGTCAATTAGATGAAGAATAAATTATGATTAACCTTCTTTTTCTCTGCCCCTCCTGTCTCAGGGATGATGATGTTTTGTTTGTCTGTGAAGGGGAGCCCTTTATTGGTGAGTCTCTAATTCTTATCTTGAAGCTTTTATTTAATAAAGTTTCTTTTGCTTTCATATAAACTGAAGATTTCATTTTGTGGTGTTTTCAGAAGATACCTCTTTGTAATTAAAGAATATTAACAATTTTTCCAGTAAGTGCTTGCTTTATTCTCTGCAGACCCTCAGACTGATGGGAGAGCTCAGGAGGAGCTGACAGGGTCCCACACAGACTGGCTGACTCTCAATGTGGGAGGCAGATATTTCACCACCACCCGGTAAAAATGGTCTCCAAAAACTTCCAAAACTTCCTTCCAATAAAGCAAAACACCTTAAAAATGTATTTTAAAATGTGCCTTAAAAATACCTTAAAAAGTAACTTACTGCGAAGCAGGAGGTCTTGGACTCCTGCAGCTTTCTCTGTATTTTGTATTTGCCACCACAGTTTTGCAAGAAATTAATTCTAGAACATTTACAGATGAAAGAAAAGTAAAGCTGGGCTGCTTTTGTTTCCTAGGAGCACTTTGGTTAACAAAGAACCTGACAGTATGTTGGCACACATGTTCAAAGACAAAGGTGAGTATGTTGAGATGAACTTTATTATTTTTAAGTAATAAATGAGCAAAGTAGGCAAAAGTCACTGTCAAGCTGAGGCTCTTGTTCATAAAGTAAAATATCCAGAGTATGTTAATGTACCAGAGCAGAACAGGGAATAATTTTTTAAAGCTTTATTTCTCTCTATCATCTCACCACCTGATGTTGATCATCTGTCTCACAAACACAGCTGCAAACACAGCTCCCATCCATTGTGGGTACTTTGGGTCCTTTGTTTGTGTATTTGATTTGAGGTTTTCATCTTGTTGCATCTTCTGAGTTTTGTCAGCAGAGCCAAAGAGCAAAGTGCACGAGGCAGCCCTGGGGAGACAGACTGAAATTTCAGTGCTGCTTTTATCCTAGCCAGGATTCTTTTGTATGTGGTGCAAATTCAGTTATTCAGAGCAGGAACAAGTTCATTTTAAGCTGATTTTTCCCCCCACTCCTCTTTTCCTTCCTTCTGTCTCCGAACCACCCTTCCAAGTGGAATGTTTGCTATTCCAGTGCCTTTGGTAGTAAAAAACTCTGAAAACTGAAGCAAATGCTCTTCTATTACTACATCAAAAGTAATTTTATATATATATATGTTGTGGAAACAGATGCTTGGGGGAATAAGCAAGATCCTAGAGGAGCTTTCCTCATTGACCGCAGTCCCGAGTATTTTGAGCCCATTTTGAACTATTTGCGGCACGGACAGCTCATTGTAAATGATGGCATTAATTTGCTAGGTAGGTATTACCTGTCTGACATCTCCTGAATTCATGATTCCTCCTTGGAATTAAAGCTTTGTGTGTAAATGATGGCATTCATTTGCTAGGTAGGTATTACCTGTCTGACATCTGAATTAATTTTTCCTCCTTGGAATTAAAGCTCTGCCCGTGGTGAAACCAGGGGGAGCTTTGTGTGCTCATCCCCGTGGTTGGGAGTTTTCCTTTGGTGGATTTATTCTCAGAGTGCAGCTCCATGTGCTTGCTTTAATGAGGATAGGCTGGTTATTTCTCTCTGGAGCATTAAAAATCCATACTGGATTAATATCTGGAATGCTGGAGTTGATCTCTTTAACCTAATGCTGCTGTTTGAAATGTTGTGTCTGAGTTATGTTTTTCCTTTTAGCTGCAAGCAAACTGTTTCTCTCTCCCCAGTTCCCTCCAGTAGAATGTGTGTGTGTTCTCCAGTAAGGGGAGAGAAGGGTGCTGCTCTCTGGCTCAGCAATTCCCTGCATTAACCAGCCCTGCTTTGTTCCTAGGGGTTCTGGAAGAAGCCAGGTTTTTTGGGATTGACTCCCTCATTGAACACCTGGAAGTTGCTATTAAGGTACCTTGCTGTCTGTGAGCCCTGCATGCAGGTCCTGCTCTGGCAGGGAACGTGAAACTCGGTGCTGTGAGCTGTAACTGAGAGCTGTGAGCTGTAACTGAGAGCTGGTAACTGTAACTCTGAGCTGTGAGCTGTAACTGGTTGCTGTTAGCTGTAACTGAGAGCTGGTAGCTGTAACTGAGAGCTGTTAGCCTTAACAGGGTGCTGTGAGCTGTAACTGAGAGCTGGTAGCTGTAACTGAGAGCTGTTAGCTGTAACTGGGTGCTGTTAGCTGTAACTCAGAGCTGTAACTCAGAGCTGTCAGCTGTAACTGAGAGCTGGTAGCTGTAACTGAGAGCTGGTAACTGTAACTCAGAGCTGGTAGCTGTAACTGAGAGCTGTAACTCAGAGCTGGTAACTGTAACTGAGAGTTGTCAGCTGTAACTGAGAGCTGGTAGCTGTAACTCAGAGCTGTAACTCAGAGCTGGTAACTGTAACTCAGAGCTGTGAGCTGTAACTGAGAGCTGGTAGCTGTAACTGAGAGCTGGTAGCTGTAAGTGAGAGCTGTGAGCTGTAAGTGAGAGCTGTGAGCTGTAACTCAGAGCTGTGAGCTGTAACTGGGAGCTGTCAGCTGTAACTGGGAGCTGTCAGCTGTAACTGGGAGCTGTGAGCTGTAACTCGGTGCTGTCAGCTGTAGCTCAGAGCTGTAGCTCAGAGCTGTCCCTGTTCCCCGTGCCCAGAACTCGCAGCCAGCCGAGGATCACTCTCCCATCTCTCGGAAGGAGTTTGTCCGGTTCCTGCTGGCCACGCCCACCAAGTCCGAGCTGCGCTGCCAGGTGAGGGAGCTCAGCCTTTGTCTGTCAGCCGAACTCCAGGAATTGTTTCCTGACACCTGACCCACCCCTACCCTCTCACAGTTTGAAACCACAGCCTGTTTCAAGGAAAGATCCGAGTCTCCTTTCCTCCAACCCTGCCCTCTTACAGTTTAAAACCACAACCTGTTTTAAGGAAATACCAAACCTTGGGAGCTTTGCATTTACATGTCATGGTGCTATGTAATAGATTAAATGATCTTGTGAGTGTTTATACAGGGCCATGGAATGGTTTGGGGTGGAAGGGACCTTAAGGATAATCTTGTTCCAATCTGCCATGGGCAGGGACACCTCCCACTGTCCCAGGTGCTGCAGCCTGGCCTTGGATGCTTCCAGGGATGGGGCAGCCTCAGCTGCTCTGGGAATTCCATCCCAGCCCCTTCCCACCTTCACAGGGAGGAATTTCTTCCCAATATCCCATCTAAACCTGATCTCCAAATCCCTTGCCCCTTGTCCTGGCATTCTCTGTCCATATAAAAGTCTCTCCCATCTTTTTCTCAGCCCCTTTAAGGTACTGGTCGTGTGTCAATACATTGTTTATCTGTATAGATTTATACACACAACTGCCCAGACGTGTTTCTTGTAATTCTTTTGTGTCCAGAGCTCCCCCTTCCCCTCTGTGACCACTTTGGGGGTGTTCACTGCTCTTGCAGGGGCTGAATTTCAGTGGGGCCGACCTTTCCCGCCTGGATCTTCGCTACATCAACTTCAAGATGGCCAACCTGAGCCGCTGCAACCTGGCCCATGCCAACCTGTGCTGTGCCAACCTGGAGAGAGCTGACCTGTCTGGCTCCGTGCTGGATGTAAGGCTGCTGCAGCCTGGGCTGCCTGCACTTGTCTCCTGAAACAGGAATTGGAACAAAAAAATCAGTTTCCCAATGTTTATGTGATTGTTCCACTCAGAGCACTCCCACACTTCCTCACAGTAACGGGGGGATTGTGCTTTGGGGGTTCAGTGCAGAATTTAAATCTGTGTTCTGCTGATTTCTGTGTTTATCAACACCCTTGTGACTCACATCCTGTGTCTGCAGTGTGCAAACCTGCAGGGGGTGAAGATGTTGTGTTCCAACGCAGAGGGAGCATCCCTGAAGGGCTGCAACTTTGAAGATCCGTCAGGCCTTAAAGCTAATTTGGAAGGTAAGTTTTTGTTTGTTAATTATTGCCTGGAATCAGCCCTGTGCCTGTACATTTATGTGTTTGTACAGTCCCTGGGAAGAGCTCACAGCTCTGGGCTAGTTCTGCCAAACAATCCTTGAATTCCCAGTTGTGCCTTGGCCTCTCCCAGTTTGCCCAGTGTCAGATCCCAGCACATCCCTCTGGGTGCCCTGGAGGGCTCCACCCCTGGCAGGGGGCTCAGAGACCCTGGCACAGAGCCCCAGACCCCTGTGCCTTTGATTCTGACCCATGGAGAAAATTACCAACCTTGTGTGAGGATTCACAAGCACGAGAGTTTAACTAGAATGATAGTTTGTTACAAGACAGAAAAGTAGAATTTTGGGGTTTTAGAATGGAGGTTCAGAAGCCAAGATGGAGGGATTTGGGCATGCCCTGTCCTTCTTTCTTCTTCTTGGACTCCATCTTCTGGGTGATGGTGACACTTTTGGATTGGTTTAGAGACAGACTGTCTAACACAGGTGATAGGGATTGGAAAATTACTGTAAATAAGGTACAGGTAGTTCTTAGTATAAAAAGCCAACACCACCCTGAGGTGGTTGGTGTGCCATGGACTGACATGGTAGACAGACCTCAGCAGGTCAGGAGAAGAATGTTCTAGCAAACAGAAAATAAACAAAACCACAACAAACCAAAATAAACCTTGGAAACCACAGCTGAGGAATCCTGACTTCTCCTTCCATCTCGGGGCTGGCAAAAAGAGACTTTGTGACACCTGGGGGTCACCCCCAGCACCCAGCTCTGGGGGAGCCTCTCCTGGAGCTGCTGCACTCGTGGCTGGTTCCCTCAGCCCTCTGTGGGTGTTGCAGGTGCCAACCTGAAGGGAGTGGACATGGAGGGCAGCCAGATGACCGGCATCAACCTGAGAGTGGCCACGCTGAAAAACGCCAAACTCAAGAACTGCAACCTGCGAGGGGCCACGCTGGCAGGGACTGACCTGGAGGTGGGCACAAACATCAATTGTTTCCTAGACATAGATATTGTGGGGGATAGAATGGGAGAAAATACAGTGCAGAAGGTAATCTCACCCCTGAGGAGCTGCACTGATTATCAACGATTAGGAGCAGGCCACAGCTGTGTCTGATAAGGATGAGATATAAAAGAGTGGGTTAGGTGGGTGAGATGAGCTGCTGGAGTTTGTTGGCTGTGCTGTGAAGGAGTCAGTTCTGTGAGGAGCTGTCCATGAGAAATCACCAAGAAGGTGTGGAACATTTGCAATAGGATGACAACAATATATAAATATAATGTATACGCATATTATGTATGTGTACAAAAAGATGGGAATTTGGGGGTTGCTGGCTTTTCTCCACCTGCAAAGTTGAAGGGAGTTATGGGAAATGGAGTCAAACTTTGAGCAGAGTTCTGTCTCTATTCAGTTAACATTGTTTTTCCTTCCCTCTTCAGAATTGTGATCTGTCAGGTTGTGACCTGCAAGAAGCAAATTTGAGGGGATCCAATGTGAAAGGAGCCATCTTTGAGGAGATGCTGACACCCCTGCACATGTCCCAGAGTGTCAGATAGGGGCAGAGGATGCTGGAGAGGAAGGAATCAGACATTCATTGTGACTTGCTTCACCTCCTCCCCTTCCTGAGTTACAGTCATGGTTATTAGCCACCTTACATTTGCAGTAGTGCCTAGGTAAACTCTTTTTGATCACTTTTGGGGAGGGAATTTTGATTTTCAGAGGTTTGTACCTCTGTGAGCAGAGTGAGGAAGGGGGCTGGTGCTGGAATCAGAGAGTGGCTGGTTTGGGGGGGAAAGGTTCAATGGTTTCATTGTTTAGCATTGCCTCACTTTGGAATGCATTTTAATTTATAAAGCACAATATATGCAATTCTATTTATTAAATCTGTAGCTGCAATATGAATAGAAGATGTTACTCCTGTACAGTAGCAACCAAGTTGAGGTTTACAGGTGTATTTCCAGTCTGGATCCATGCCAGGGGGGCTCAGTGTCCCCAGGGGTGCTCAGGGCTCTGCTGGGGTGGAAGCTGATGGGAACATCCCTGCTCACAAATTGGGTATCTTGAATTAATCCTCTCCAAATGAGTGTGGAGGTGCACTGTCAGTCACAGCTGGTGACACAAATCCTGCTTTCACATGTCCTGACCACTCCAGGCTGCAGCTGCTGCAGTTTTCACCCTCTGTGGTGAACTCAGTGCAGAGAGGAAAGTCCAGAGCTGGCACCAAAGCAGAGAGAGGCAGAGGGGCCCTCCCCTCACCACCTCAGCAGGTGAACCTTTCCCTGTTTCCCCTCCATGCTCTATGCAAAGACCCCCTGACAGCTCCCTGGGCTTTCCCAGCTGGGTGTTCCTGTTGTGTTTGGGCTGCTCCAGGTGCTGTAAAATCCTCTTGCCTGGGGCCAGGAGCCCTCCCTGCCCTCCCACAGCCTCTGGGCCTGGCACAGAGCAGTTCTGGGCAGGGCAGGGCCTCAGCACGCTGGTGTCGATAAGGAGCTGCTCCCTGCAGGATCCATGGAGTTCTCAGCTCACACCACCTTTATTTTACACACAATCAAAAAGCACATGGAGAAACTATACCAAAAAAAAGAAAAAAGGTGCATCAAGAACTTACCTCAGATGCTTAAACCACCCCAAAGTTAAAACTAACCTTGAATTTAAGGAAATCAAGCTGTTACTGTAGAAATACAAAGGAGGAGTAAGAACCAGTGGAGTTCCACAGTTCTCCGGGGGTTGTCTCTCCCTTGCAGTGCAATTTCTGTCGTCTTGTCTCAGTTGATGTTACAAAAATGCTGCTTTGCCCCCAGGCTGGGAGGATCAGAGATGGTTGAGGGTCAGCAGAGGATGTGTTTGGGGGGAATTGCAGGATTTTCCCTCCTTTTCTAGTTGGTTTGACTCAGGTGAGTGGTGTGAACTTCCAAGGCTCAAAATCCCAGAGCCACGAGGTTCAGAACTGGGATTATTTCCTGCAGATCCCTCTGGATCAAGCTCTAGGACAACACAATATCCTTGGAGAAATGACCTGTAAATTCCAGGGAAATATTCCAGTGTGACTTTGGAGTCCTTTCTCACACCTCATGGCTTTCAGTGGGAATGTTGTGTCTGTTGCAGTAGGAGAAGATTCCTAGGGCTAGAGAAACAAATGAATTATTTTTCTTTATCATATTTTGTAGCTGGCAGAAGTAAAACTATTGTATGGAATATATATATATATATATCTATTTTCATAATCACTGTGTATAAAATCTCTTTGAACTTTCACTGAAGCACTATGGAATAATCACAGCATGTGGCACCATCATTCACAGCTGGATTTTTGGTACCTCTTTTGCCAGGACAGAGCTGTGGCAAGAGCCCTGTGCAGAATTTGCAGGTTCCAGCTAATTTAAGTTGCATTAATAAAAAGTGTGAAAGAAAAAAGTGGCTTGGTTGTCTTCATTTTAATAAAAACCCCAAATCTTACCTGGTTTGTGTGAGAAGAACAAGAATTTTTAGTTTTAAGTATAAAATACCTGTTGGAAAAACAACTGTGCTTGAGGGGATTCTGAGCCATTAATTGGGGGAATTTGCATGGGATTGGTTTTGGTTTGTCATTCCTCCCCAAGATTTCTCAGCATTTTTGTCCCCACCCTTCATATTGGCTTAATAAAATAGTTGGAGGCACAATAATCAGAGAATTGTGGAATATCCTGAGCTGGAAGGGCCCCAAGGATCATAAAATCCAATTCCTGTGGAAGCACCAGAAACCTGTGGAGAAAAAGTTGGGAGCTGTTCAGGGCAGAGTGCTCAGAGCCAGGGCAGTGGTGCTCAGTGAGCTGCAGTTACTGGGCAGAGCTCTGTAAATGTCCAACCCTGCTTTACCTTTAAATAACCCTCATGTTTGCAAGGCTCAGCAGGAAGGAGGCTCCAAACACAGGAGAACCCCTGGGTGACTCCAACGTGCCTGCTGGAGGAGCGGGAACATTCCTGTTCTGATCCACCATTGCTGCTCTGGATCCACCATTGCTGCTCTGGATCCACCATTCCTGCTCTGGATCCACCATTGCTGCTCTGAACTCCACATTCCTGCTCTGAACCTCACATTTCCTGTTCTGGATCCACCATTCCTGCTCTGGATCCACCATTCCTGCTCTGAACCCCACATTCCGGCTCTGAGCCCACCATTCCTGCTCTGAACCCCACAGTTCTGCTCTGAACCCACCCTTGCTGCTCTGAGCCCACAGTTCTGCTCTGAACCCACCATTCCTGTTCTATATCCACCATTGCTGCTCTGAGCCCACCATTCCTGCTCTGAATCCAACTGTTCTGCTCTGAACCCACCATTCCTGTTCTGAATCCCACATTCCTGCTCTGGACCCCACATTCCTCCCCTGAGTCCACCATTCCTGCTCTGAGCCCACCATTGCTGCTCTGAACCCCACAGCTCTGCTCTGGATCCATCATTGCTGCTCTGAACCTCACATTCCTGTTCTGGACCCCACATTCCTGCTCTGACCCCACCACTGCTGTTCTGGATCCACTGGATCCACCATTCCTGCTCTGAATCCAACTGTTCTGCTCTGAGCCCACCATTGCTGCTCTGAACCCACCATTCCTGCTCTGAGCCCCACATTCTTGCTCTGAACCTACCATTGCTGCTCTGAGCCCACACTTCTGCTCTGAACCCACCATTGCTGTTCTGGATCCACCATTCCTGCTCTGAACCCCACATTCCTGCTCTGAGCCCAGCTGTCCTCACAGCTTGAGCAGCTGAGCTGGAGCTGCCCCTGCCAGGAGTGGGAGGAGCCCTGGGGCAGGAAGGGTGACTCTGCTGAGAGTCACCAAATCCCCCCTGAATTGTTGACTCACTGAATTACTGAATTACTTTAATCCATGAAAACTCCAAGAGGCCATGGGAGCTGGGGCAGAGGATATTTGGAGAACAGGGAACACGAGACATTCAGTGCACAGCAAGGCAGGGGAGCAGCCAGGTGGGGAAAAATACAATTTCTGCAGTCCAAAGTACTGAATTGAGCTCCTGCATGCCAACAAGTCTATAAATCTGCAGTGCACAAACCCTTGAGATTGAAAAATAGGGAATCATGGAATGGTTTGGGTTGGAAGAGGCCTTAAGGATCATTTCCCTCAATTCCATCCCCAAAACCTCCCACTGTCCCAGGCTGCTCCAAGCCCTGTCCAGCCTGGCCTTGGACATTTCCAGGGATCCGGGGCAGCCACAGCTGCTCTGGGAACTCCATCCCAGCCCCTCCCCATCCTCACAGGGAAGGAATTTGTTCTGATATAAACCCCAATTCTATATTTCTTTCTGACTCTTTTGTCAGTTTAAACCCTTTCCCCCCTGTCCCTGTCACTCCAGGCCCTTCCCAAAAGGATTTGGGGATCCTGTTCACACCAGATTCCATTGTGCCTGCAAAGTTCATTTACAATCATGGACTCACCCAGGTTAATCCCACCTGGCATTTTACAGAGCAAGGAACTCCAAGGCACCTGAAGTTAAATATTGACAGGAGGATTTCAAGCTGTTCTGGGCACTGGTGCTCCTGTTTGAGCACTCAAGGGTTCTTTCCTTCATGCCTGACACAAATGAAATGGGCAGGAGGTGTTGCCTGGATTCCCCATCCCTGGAAGAAAGGCCTTGGAGCACCCTCGGGTAGGGGAAGGTTCTCTGTCCAAGGCAGGGTGGAAATAAATTAATTTAAGGTCTTTTCCAAACCAAAACATTCCAGGATTCTTAAAGACTGAGCTCAATTCCTCACCTATTTCCCACCCTCAGATTCAGACTCACCCAAGAACTTTTACTAAAGGAGCCAGAACTCACTGACAGAAAAGCTCCTGTACTTCCCAGCAGGATCATCTGGATCCCAATGAGGGATTTACAACCTCTTAAAAGCAAAGCTGTTACTTTTATGACTTTTAGAGAAAAGAGCTGGATTTAATTGCTGCACCAGGGTGTCCCAATTATGGGCTTTGCTTGTGCTGCATGACAGCCACGGTAACAGGAACACCAAAATTGAGCCTGGGAGGGAGAAATGGAAAAGTCTCCTGCTGGGGACGGGGTGGCACTGGGGTTCTTGGCTATAAAAAGTGAGGTGGGAGCACATTTACAGACATTTTCCTGAGGAGAAGAGCTGGAGTTACTCCACAACCTCTCAGGCAGCAGGTAATGCGCTGGAACAACATTCCACATTCCCTTTTTATTTATCCAGTGCTTACAGATGCTCCTATTAAAAAAAAAAAAAATTAGAAAAGACTGCAAAGGGCAGGTTTTAAGAGCAGGGACATCAGAGCAGAAACCAGCTGAACACATCTGCCAAGCACCACCAGGGAATGCAACCTTTGAGGTCCACACATGCCTGCAACTCAGAAATCCTAATTTAGATCTGCAGCCAAATGTTTCAGATGTCCAATGTCTTTCAAGTGATCTAATCCAGACTTGGAGAGGCTGCAAATCCAGCTGGGGCTCCTGGCCAGGAGGGGCAGGTCAGAACTGGAGCAGGCACAGGGTGGGAGTTTTGGGGTGTCTGTGCAGGGCCAGGAGCTGGAATTCCACGGTCCTTGGGAGCCCCTTCCAGCTCAGCACATTCCACGATTCTGTGAGCCAGAAATGCCTCATTTCCCCCCTCTGCAAGGTACAGCAGGAGCTGCAGGGCCTTTGTGAGCAGGCTTTTGGTGGTTTTGGTGTATTTTTGGTGTGTTTTTGTCTCCCCAGGATGGAGAAGCCCG